ATCTCTATGCTCTACTCTTCATCCTCTGAATCACCGCTTTTGCAGGCTCATAATCAGGGTATTTAGGATATGGAGGAAATTGCAATCCTTGGTTACCCCTAATGAGGCTCTCCAAAGATGAGTGAAAGTTCTCTTCATAATCACTTTTTCTCCTATTATACCTATTAGTATGATCTGCAAAACGCTCTAAATTTTATACCCTATCAGCGGTAAAATTAGTATTATTATTATACCTATTAGTATGATCTACATTGAATCATTTCATGGGGTGTTTGAATCACTTGAGAGCCTTCTAGAGCATCAAAATTTGCCAAAAATCGGTCCATAACCGTCCCGGGCACTGCCGGCATCGGTATGAGTGCCGTCAGCTCCAGTTTTCATCGCTTCTCTGGACTCAGGCGCTGTCGGCGCCGGTCTATAACAACTCCACTGTTTCGCTCCGTTTGGCTCCGTTTTAGCTTCGTTTTGCCCCATTTCAGTTACGTTTCGTTCCTAACAGATAGACCTACTAAATTATCATGAAAACAACCTTTTTTTAAAGTGTAATTTTATTCAAAAATGCGTGAGAAGTGTAAATGAGATTAAACATAGAAAGACATATCAAACTGTGCCATGACAAAATTTTCTTTCTTGCTCGTTTTTGCTCTAAATTGCATAGTTTTTGCTTTTTTTTCCAAAACTCCATTTCTTGTCACTGAAACTAAAAATATGCAAAATAAATTCCCTTAAAGTGTAATATCAATAAAAATCATTATAATTGAGTATAAAATATATATAAAAAAGTAGTCATTTTTTAGGTGTATCACTGATCAAACTGAAAGTGGGTGCATATACAAAGTGTCATGTAAGATTTGCAAGCATTATGAGTAAACATATGCAAGAGATATGTCATGCAAGTGAGACTGACCAATTGACTCTTTAACTTGATCGAAACGGTCGACCGGTCGCTACGACCGATTAGGGTTTGGTCGGGTCGGAGTGACCGACTGGATGAAAGTGATAAGCTGATCAAGCCTTGATGGCTGATCAACCCAATTTGATTGGTTGATCAAGCATGGTCGGTAGATCAAATCAAGGTCGACAGTTCATCGGACCCTGGTGGCCGATTGAACCAATTTGGACAGTTAATTTGACCTTGGTGGTTGATCAAACCAATTTGATCGATTGATTGAGCTGAGGAAGCCGATCGAACTTAAGTGGATTGTTGATCGAACCTCATGGTCATTCAAACCTAATTTGATTGGTCGATCGTGCCGAGGCTGTTGATTGAATCGAAGTGGACGATTGATCAGATCTTCATGTCCGATTGAACATAATTGAACAATTGATTGGACCTTGGTGGCCGATCAACTAGTTTGATCGGTTAATCGAGCTGAGGCGGTCAATTGAACTAAAGTGGATGGTTGATCAAATACTCATGACTGATTAAATCTAGTTTTATGGTTGATTGGATTTTCGTGGCCAATCCAACCTAATTTGGTTGGTCGATCAAGCCGGGGAAGTCGATTGAATTGAATTGGATGGTTGATCGAATTTTCATGGCTAATTGAACAAATTTGATCAATCAATCGAGCAGGGGCAATCGATAGAACTGAAGTGGGCGGTTGATCGAACCTTTATGGTCGTCAAACCAATGCAATCATATGATCGAGGTGCCGTGTGCGAAGTATCATGAAATATCACAAGAAAATGAAACGACATACATTTGATATCAAATTAAATTTATCCTAAGGTCCTCACATAGGATCTAGCTTTAATTTATGGATGTGTAGTGAAGCTACCTCCGAATTTGACTAATGACATAAAGTGGTTTTTTTCGATTCTTTGAGAAAATTCCTATATGATTTGGAGAAGGAAATGACTGAGGGGATTTTTCATTCTCCAAATTTCATATGCTTCAATCTCTCCAAAAAAGATTGGAGCAACCAAAATCGTGGGAAATTTGGATTCTTACCGTTTGGGTTCTTCGTGCTTAAGGCGTAGAGGGAGAGCTCAAAATTAGTAGGAAAATAAATAAATCGCTCCTAACCCAAGGGGATTTTCTCTAGCACACAACCTAGATCCTTAAATCTCTAACATCTAGCTTAAGGGTCTTTAGAAAAGAAAATACATTGAGTTGTAGAAAATTTCACCATCGTGTCATTTGTAGATGCGTTCTCTTTGCTGGCTCTTTGCTCCTACCTTGTTTGGATGAAGCTCTCCTCTTCCAATGGAGATTTGAAGCCCTTTTTCCTTCTCCAAGTGGGATGAAACTTTCCTTTTTCACAAGTTTTCACAAGGAGATGAATGAAGCTTTTCCTTGAAGAAGCCTCTTCAAGTCTTCCCTCACACTCTCCTTTAAAGATTGGTGGAGTTAAGAAAGAAAATATGGAAGAAATATTAAAGAAGAAGAAGAAAGGAAGAAGATGAAGACATCTCTTTCTCTAGAACTCTTCACAAAGCTCTTCTCCTCTCTAAGAACTTTCTCCTCAGCTTTTTTTGACCCAAGCTTAGCCCAAAATCCACTCTCCATGAGACATATGATCGGGCAATATTCATAGTAGGAGGCTCAATGCTTTTATCAATTATTTTCCCACTTTCCCCAAGCTCAATTTTGGCATCTAATGGGTCAATTTGATCAAAAGAACAAAAAATTTTGAACATAACCGCTCCCGGGGCGGCTAGGCACTGAACCTGGTGCCTACTTTCTGTCCTCTAAGGTTTCCAAATCATTGTTGGGCTATTTCAGACGCCTAAGTGCTGAAAACTAGTGTCGGGGTGCTAGGGCTTGGCGTGAGCTTTCCAGGCTTTTAGTTTTGGATCCTAAGGCTATATCGTGCGCCTAGGCGGTAGGAACTAGCACTGGAGCTTAGGGTCTAGCGCGAGGCACCAGGGTCCTGCGAAGGGGCGCTAGGTTGGCTTGATGAGCCCTTATTTACGTAGAAAAATGTTTGTGAAGAGTTTTTCGATCCATAAGTAATGAGAGACTAAATCTCAAAAAAAAAATAAAAATTATGAGTCTTTTATCATAGATCATAGTTAACGGGCGGTCCGAACCACCGCGTGGGTGTAATGACTTGAGCCCTGATTTAATCTAAAACGCGTGCATAAGAATTTTTTGACATCCTTTGGCCACAGAGGCCTTGAGTTGATATGGAATGACCTCTAAATATCAAAATGGATGCTATATGTGTCTTGTGTCCAAACTATCTCCACCCATGGTGAGCTCTCCTGGGTAGAGCTGAGCTCTCCTGGGTAGAGCTGAATCAGCACGAACCCTAGTTCTGTGCTCAAAACACATATCAGGAGGTCCTAATAGATGTTTGAGAGTGAGAATCAACAAATGTATCAAGCAATGTTCCGTAGTGCTCAAGTTAACATCCCATGCTTGTGGAATCAAAAGTGCTGCCAACAACAACCTTATCCTCCTACTGTTCGCAACGCCGCCCACCAGCCAACCGCTATCAACAGCCTGCCAGTTCGTCATTGTCGTCTGACAAAAAAAAAATATTTTGAAATACTTTGTTACCAACCTATTTTAAACCAAACAAACAAAAAATAAATAAAGTTCTACTTTTATTTTGTAATGAACCAAATAATTCTGAAGACATTTCAAATATATTGAAATCATAATACTCTTTAAATTTTCTACCTCATGTCTCATTTCAGCAAATGAAACATCCCTTATGTAAATAGAAATATTGTATGTGGTATTTATGTAAATCCCCCTAAAAATAGATTGGTAACATTCAAATTGGAGCTCGTGACGTGGTCCGACAAGAGGATTTGGTCATTGGTGATGCCGTGCCAGGTGGCCCATTTTTAAATTAAATCATAATAAAATGGAAAATATGGACCGGACATAATAAAATGATAAATAATTAGCTCAACAAACTTGACCCCGTTTCTTCCAATTTCTTACCAGAAGCTTCTAATTTCATCCATCATTGGATTGCTTTTGCCGAACAAATCTACCGTTCGCAAACGCATGAAGTCATTGGTGGATGTTATTTTTAAAAACACTTTAAATATTTAAAATTTATTTCAAATAATTTAATGGCAGCTTAAATTCTTTTAAAAAAGAAAAGTTTGGGCAAAATACATTAAATAAATATACTTTTAAAATAAAGTAAAAATTAAAATAATCTCAAACAAAACCAAAATTCATAAATATTAAAACAAAACAACATTATATATATATTGTTTATTATTTTTAAAAAAAAGAATCCGTATTTAAAGCGGACGTATCATCTTATCCCCTAAATACCTAAAAAAAATATTACATCAGGACTCCACACGTAGAGTTAAGTGAGGAGTCCAATGAAATCACATCACGTGGCGGTGACAAAAAATAATAAAATCTGTCTGGTAACATAAGAAAATATTCATCCCGTATTATTCAGGTGCTATTGTGTGTTATTAAAGTATTATTTATGTGTTATTGTGTTATTATAACACCGAGAATATTTACAGAACACAATAACTCCTGAAAAATATGGGGGGAATATTCTCCTGTATTATCGGGCCGATTTTTTTGGAGTGACTCCGCACGTAACTCTACGTGCGGAGACCGGATGTAATTTTTTTTTAAATACCTATGTCTCATATGTGCTAATTCGAATCAGCTGGAATTCGAACCTAAGGCCGATGGGACAAGCCGTAGATGCCTTCTAACATGCCACGGGTTGGGAAATATTTATTTGAGATTGTTTTGATAGACTTGGCATGAGCGAGAGCTTAAACATCATTTGATTTAATTTGAGGGAAAATCAATTGAATATATATAATTTTAAAATATTTTAATAATTTATAAAGTCGTTCTCGTATAAATAGCGTAGAATATTCTGAAACAATTTTTTATTTAAATTTAAATGGATACGTGACCTTTACGTATGACTCGTCTGCTGGGCGGCGGAAAGGAAAATACTTAAAAATAATCTTAGGTATATCTTGGGAGTAGTCCATTTCAGTGCTTACGAGTTGCGGGTAAAAGACGGTAGAAGTAAATAAATTTCTCATAAACTTGCCAAGACAGACTCAATTTCTTTCCCTCTCCGCAGATCTAAGAGCTCTCCCTCCATTTTCTGCTCTGTCGCTCTCTCTCAAGCACAAAGAATTCTAGAGCTCAGCTCTGCTGCATCAGATCGAAGCTCGACTCTGGCGAGATGGGGACGAGTGGGATCGTTGTCGAACCGGCGGCCGGAAGAACGGTGAGGGGCGGCGCTAGTGCCGGTGCTGGAGAACGAGAAGAGGGGCTGGATCTCTTCTTGAGGAGGCGCAGCGCCACTGTGGTCCGCTCGCTCGGAGATGGTAACATCCATAATGGTACTGATCGTTGCTTGTATTTTGGATTATTTGCATTTGATGCGGGGTTATGCATGTTCTTTGATTCGATTGGTATTGTTAATAAGTCTAGATCGACGTGATTTGGTGAGAATTTTTTCTTTGAGTGTGGTTTTTTATTTTTATTTGGTTCTTCTCCAATGGATTGGTTGCCATTTGGTTTATTTGTTCTGATTCCTATGATTGGTTTAGTTGAGATTTGGCGAGTATTTAAGTAGTGAACTGATTTTGGAGCATCTGATTTGGTAATTTTGTAATGCATGTAAGTGTTATATTAGTTGGGTTGTTGATGTTCAATAACTGTTTTTTCAGGATCGATCAAGAATTTATCAGTGGGATCAGCGATTAAAGGCACGGCCAGAGCGGATGACTTTTTGGATGCAGAAATGGGAAAACATGATTATGATTGGTAGTGCTTAAGTTACAGTTGATGTTTGTTTAAAAGTTAATATTATACGCCTTCTTATCTACTTTTGTAAACAATGATCTCCAATCACATTTTCTAAATCATGAATGAAGCATGATGATTCGTATTGTGAGCGCAAAGTTCAATCAAGTTTATTTACGATCCTGCTTAAGTGTTTACCCATTCAGGAAGTGTTGTTCATACAAAGCCTTAATAGAAGTTGATCCATGCAGATTCTTTATGGAATGCAGTTCTTAATGTCAGTGGAAAAATGATGTTTTTTAGATGCATGCTGAAAAGAAATGCTTACGAGCATTTGTTATGGAGCATCTAGTTCTCAGTGTTATATGAACATTTGAGGGAGTGAGCTTTGTTCCACAATAAATAGTTAAAAAAAATTGTTAATGTAAAAATACCAATTGTTTATGTCACGCACATGCTGTAGGTTATGGATCAAAATGGTTTTCACCAGTAGTTTATAAGCACAATTTTAGTATCCCTTTGACCCACACCCCCAAAAATGTGTTATTATGGCTGATGACTTGTCTAGGATTGGGTGGTTATCCAATTTGTGGTTCCTGTGAGTGGTGATTTTTGTAATCATTGTCGAGTAAGTTTGAAGAGCATGTGGCTTTCATATATGCTTCATATGATTGAGCAAGCTCTTGAAGCATGGAAAATGAGTATGAAGCTCTTCCTTTTGAGAGAGAGTTGTTTCATATGGAGAGCTCTTATATATGAGTGGAGATTTGTTAGGCTATATGAGATTATTGGTATTGTCCCATATTGGATAGTTGAAATATATGTTGGTATATTACTAAATTGATGTCTCTCATAAATCATTTAGATTTGTTGATTAAAAACAGACTCGCCATTGATGTATAAAGCCTAACATTGATTTTCTTTTGATCTACACTTAACACTCATAATATTAACCACCAACGTTCCAAGTATTGTTGTTGAATAAAAGGAAGGTGGAAGAACAGAGAAGGGGAGTGGGAAATCATGATTACTTGTAGCAGGAAACAAAGTTTTTAACCTCCTAAATCACCACCCAAATAGAAGGTATTTAACGGTTTTCGTGGATGAAGAAAATGTTTCTGATTAGGATAGATTGAGATGGCTTATCTAGATTTTTTAGCTTCTTAGTCTTGATGACTCAGTGTTGACCTATGTATTGAGTTAACTTTCAAAACATTAACTTTGTTCAACTCAGCCCTTCCTTTTCAAAGGTAAACTCAAATGGTATTCATTGAATTACGTTTCTTTCGTTTCTAAGTCCATTTGTTACCATTCATAGAGTTAACATTTGATTGTTCGCATGCTTGAAGAATTTAGTGATACCATGGAGTCAACTTTTTTTTCTCCTTAATTTTCTAAGAAATATCTACCATGGAGACAACTTATGCATTGAACCATTTCATAGAGTGAAGGTTTAATTAACCATCGTTAAAACCTATTTAACTGATAATAAATGGAGGAGCGTTTCAGATGATAAGGGACTGAGAGAGTGCAATTACTTTGGGGCAGAAAGAAGGGAAAACTAACATCTCATTGTGTATGTCGTGCATGATTTAGACTATACATTATGAAGAAAGCTTTTCTCATCCTTATGAGGGAGAGGATATTTAATAATAACAGAGATGCCTAGATCCATCAAAGAGGTAATGAAACTATATATGTTATGCTTACTTTTCTATAATATGCATTCGATCATTAAGTATATCCTATCTGAACTCTATTTAACATCCCTTCTAATCAGTGGGCCCTCCCTCATTACGTCAAGATGAACATGTGGTACTGAGCCTCTTAAGTGGATATTATCAATCCCATTCATAATCTATTTCGATCCTCAATGAACATGCCTAAGGATAATAACCTAATCTGAACTACTTTGAGCTTGATCCGTATTTGGATACATAGGAAATTACTGTGCATGAAACTTAATAACATTAACAACAATAATAATAAACTCCATCTATTAAAATTACTGCGTTGTGGTTTTTTTGGCTTTCCCTTTCATTTTTCTGGTCTCTAGCAACTGATTGGCTCAAGACAATTTTTGTTTTAAATATATCTGGTGCTCTCATACCTTAATGAGATGAAGAAAGTTTGGAATAAGAAAGAACATATTCTCAGTCTAAGCTATGATTCATGACATTTTGAATTTAATTGTCCTTTTATATTGTGATAGTTTATTTAATTTAAAATGATTCTATCTTTATGATTATGCTTTTAGGGCTTTTCTACAACCATTCATTCAAACTCTCTTACTGCTTTATACAAAATACTTGCACTTGATCATTTTGGCAATCTTCACCGATTATCATGACTAGCTTGAAATTGAATTTTTCATTTATCCATTTCATTAAGCAAAAGGAGTGGTAGATTTGCATTACTTATAATTGTTGAATAACTTAGAATCATCTCTCAAATAGTTTAGAAAATAGCTAGAATCAATTCTTCTCCTCTATTCAGAAGGCTATTTCTACTTCTTAACAAATGAACATATTAACATATACTTTTTTTATCGAAGTTCTTCAATTTAATAATGCTGCTGTCCTCAAGCCTATTTCAGAATCTTAACATCTTGAGGATGTGGGTGAAGTATAACCCTTAAATTGCTACTATAAAGAGCTTTTTGGTATCTTCCAGAAATAAAAAAAATTATGACCCAAACAAAAATAGCTTGGGATAACTTCTCTATATATCTCTTCTTATGCATGAAGATGACTTAATGCTGACTAAGTGTTGAATTGACAGCAACCGAAGCTTTAACTCTGCTTGTCTGAGCCTGAACCGATCGAGAGACACTCAAGTAGCATTCACTGAGTTGTGTGTCTTTGGTTTCCAAGTCGTTAGTTATCATTCATAGAATCATAACGTGACTTTTGCATACGTGAAATATTTAGTGATCTCATGGAGAAGATGAAACTATGAATTGAAACATTTCATGGGAAAGAAGGTCGGACTAATTATTATTAAAACCTATTTAATTGATAATAAACACAGTAAGTATTTCAGATAATGAAAGGGTTCGGGAGGGCAACACCAATGTAGCAGAAAGAAGGGAAACCTAGCTTCCCACTGCTTGCGCCTTGTATGAATCAACCATTATAGCATATATAACTTTCATCTCACAAAGGAGCTAATCAAACTGTATTTGATGTGCTTTTTAACTCATTACATGTGTTTAATCATTAAGTATATCATATCATAACTTCATTTAACATCAGTTATATTCATTGAGGCCTTAACACTACAAGCCAAACTAGATTTCATGAGTCCCCTAAATACGGTCATCATAATCTAATTCATAAGCTACCTCACAACTATATATATATATATATATATGTTGGCATTGGGTTGGTCAGGTTGGATAGAATTGGGTCAAGAGTTTGAAAATTATTATCCAAGCTCAGTCCAACATGATAATCAAGCTGGACATTCTGACCGATTGCCGGTTTTTGGTCAGGTTATGTAGGATTGATTCAGCTCAAATTGATCAAACTTTGCTTGAAAATGCAATGCAAGGTCAGTTCAGGGCAGGTAAACTTTAAGTATCTGGTCATAATGTTTTGTCTCAATAGGTCATTTAGTAGGGCCAGGCAGGCCCTCAGGTTTGTGTCTAGGCCTTTTAACAACACAAAAAACAAGCTAAGGTTGATAAAGTTATCCAAACTACGTTGGGTTTGATTCCAGCCTGGGTATGTAGGCAATAGGTTTGTCATGTAATAAGAACAATAGTTTTAGCAATAAACTTCATCTATCATATAGCTCCATATTGCAGCTCTATCATCTGGCTCTCCTCATATTCTAGTCTCTAGCCATTGATTGGCTCAAGGAACTTTTGATTTTAATACTGATAAACTTGGCATCATGTAAGCGACTTGGTACAATTACTTATCAGTTCCTTTTGATAATTCTTTACGCACAACCAACAATTGATTGCCAAGTTTCCCGCAATCTGTTTGGGAAATATCTGATCAACAGATAGAGCACGAGCTCGTAAACTCAATGCCATTCTATATTCTACATTTCATCATATTTACTAGAATGGCAGAGTGGTGAGCCTTTGACTATGGTCCCCAATAAAATTTCAACCTTAATTAAGATTTCATTTTAAATTGTTTTTAGCCAATTAACTTGCTAATTGTTACTTGATTCAACTAAGAAATATGCCATAATGGATAGAAGTATTTTTAGTTTTTCTGCAAATTTCTGTTTAGTGTCAAAAGGTACATGCTGCCCATAGATGCAATCTATTTAACAAAACCAGTGCCCAATTATCCTTTGAGAAGAAAATTTTTATTTTGATATTTATTCGATTGATCCTGCAAATAAATTGATATTTTGGAGAGGATAAGGCTCACATCTTTTTTGTTTGAGATGATTTGAGATTTTGCCTCCTCTTTGAAAATGCTATAAGCAATGACACTTAATTTATTTATTCGCAGCAGATATTTCTAATTCATTTTGAATGGCCATGTTTTGCCGTTATTTATTTAATTTTTATTTATTGGAATGGTATACACTACTGAAGTGTGGTTTCATTGTTCACACCGTACAGATTCTCCTTTGCCTTGTTTACTTATTATGCAGTCCAATGCTTTAAGTGCTTTCATCAATTTACCTCATTTTAGCATACATTATAGCTTGTCATTCTGATGGTTTACGTTTCTTTTAATAGGCTTCTTACTCCCCCTGGAACTCCTATTTTTCCTTCCTCGGATTCCACTGAGAACCAACAGACTTCAACAGGTACAAAGAACCCATCGATTGTTAAATCAGTCTCGACTTCCAGAGCTTCAAGGGTATGAATCATTGCTTCAACTTTGTTTCCAGTTCATCTTGCATATTATATTTTTGGTATCATCCATCAGATTGGAAACTTACTAAAAGTAGCTTAACTTATTAGACTCGCATGTTACTGACATCATTATTAGATCTCATATTCCAACATCAGCATATAGTTTGCTAGGGTTTAGCTTTCTATCAGTCATGTAGAATTGATCCTTAACATCAATTATCTTCAATTAGACTAAAATTGTTAACAGTGTGCTTCATCAACTATCTTTTTTATTCCCATTAACAAAGCAACCTAGAACATCAGTCGGTATCTTATTGAGTGCTTCTTAGTGGCTTAATGGTTTATGCCTAAATCATAAAACAGAAATAATAAAACATAGAAAGAAAACCCTCTACTTAAACACCATAAAAAGAATGTTCTTCGAAGAATGGAGAAGGCAAATACTGTGAGATAGGATGAATATGAAAATGCTACAGGTTTCTGGGATTTTAAAGTAAACTTGCATTGGTTAATGATTTCTATAGTGTATGATGCTATGCTAGGAAAATACTTGTATCGAATACCTGATGCCAAACAAATAGGGAATTATTGTGTAAATTATAATTTTATGAGAAAATAGATTTAAACATTCTGATCAATTTACGTGTTTGAAGAATGACAATGTCTTTAGTTGTAGATGGAGGCATAAAGAAAATATTGTCATCATCATCTTTATCCCTATTGTTTAGAGTCAGCTTTATGAATCCTTATTTTTCATTTATCTTTGTTGAGCTGTATGAGCTGATAAACTTATTCTCCCAAACATTTTTGCACTTCTCTAAATTGAAAGATGAAAAAAAAAACCAAGAAAAAAATATTTTATATGAGATTTAATGAAGATATTTTTTTAAATGAGTAAATCAAATAAATTCATGAATAATATTATAGATTTGGTCATAGAAACTGAAAATTTTAGTTGTAAAAGAAAATGCATATGAATCAATATAATTTTCATAATAATGTAAAATAACAGAGTTTTTTGTTAATGAAATTATTTATGAAATTCTATAATTAAGAGGATGTTAAATGATTAGAAAGAATTTCAAATTTTATGAACAATGATGATATTTTGATTGTCCTAATTATTGGAGAATTGTTATAATCGAGGTACTGGAGTATATTTTGTAAAAAAAATGATGCAACAATAACAACAACAACAACAAACCTTAATCCCACTAGGTGTTGTTGGCTACGTGAATCCTTTTTCTCCATTGCATCACAATATGTCCAAGTTTTGTTAGGTTTACATCTGCCATTCTTAACATAAGTCGAATCTAAAACATCTACTCTTCTATAGGATCATCAGATTTTTGTCGTTTGATGTGACCAAATCATCTAAGATGACTCTCTCTAATCTTGTTCGCCACTGGAGCTACACCAACCAACACGGAAATAATCAATTAGCATTTTGTCTCTAAGTTTCAAGCCACTAATCCACCTAAGCAATCTAATCTCAGCAACACTTAACTTTGTTTTATACTTCTCTTTTAAAGGACAACATTCTATGTCATAGAACATTGTAGGTCTCACCATCATCTTAGTATTAGAAAATTAATTTTAGTATTATTTTTGGATGATCTACCAGAGATTTTTTTTGTAAGGCAGTCAATGAAATAGTATGGATAATAATGGAAGGGTTGAAAGATAAAAAAATTGAGGGTGGGTCGAGAAATTCCATGTAACTTTATTTATTTATTTTTGTTTTCATTCTCATGGCTTTTGGGTGGATTTTTTGTTTATTTTTGAATGTCTAGCAAATTTTTAATCTTGGTTGGGGATGTATTTTTATTTTTTTAGACAAATGAGGGGAGCATTTGTTGAGAGAGATAATATATCTAGGAGCGTGAGGCTGTCTTTAATTTTTTGTGTTTTGGATAGAGAAAAGGGGTAGTTTTGAGTGAGAAATAGGAATGGTATCGTTTGTTTAGAGAGAGAGAGAGAGGGTATGCAGGGGGAGTCTTTTTATTAGATTTAGAGAAAGATGCTGTTGGGATTTGGCTAAATTTATTTTTTTTAGAAGTAGGTGATCAATGTTATAGAGAGAAGGGGGTTGTTGAATGGGTGGATAGGAATTTGAATTCTAGATTGTTAGAATTTTCTTTTTTGAGGGTGGAGATGTGTGTGAGAGAGAGAGAGAGAGAGAGAGGGAGGGAGAGACAGAGAGAGAGAGAGAGAGGGAGAAGGGTATCAAATGGGGGGAGAGAGGGGGAGGGGGTTGGGTATTATAAATTTAAGGAAACAAGGGGTTATGGGGCTGGGGTAACTCTGCAGGGAGGGTGGTTTATGGTTCTGGCTTGTGTTTTAGGATTTGGATCAGTTAGTTATGAGCCATGGAGTTTTTTTTAGAAGATCCATCATGATAGCCTTTGACTTAAAAATAGAAAATTACAAGCGCATACTTATTGAGAGCTTAATGATTTTCTTGAAATTGATCTTCATTACAACACTAAATGTTGTTCTGTTGAATTTCCATTAAAGATTCTGAGAGTGATGTTGGGCTTTGATCTCATTTGATTCATAGTGAAAAACTTGTGAAAGCCTTGAATATTTAAGAGGGAAGGAAAGGTATAAGAAATTTATGCATACAACTTAGTTTGGTTGGAGAAGAAGACAATTAGCAAAGCACCATTATCATAATATCATAGTTTGCATATTACATAACCCATAGAATGCTATTTATAATAAAATAACCTATGAGATAAATAATAATAATTTACCTTATTTTAAACTGGAAAATATCCATATTGCATCGGATAATTAACGTATAGATAAATAAAGATTACTATTCCATAAAATATAATGATTAATCAACTAAACTGCAATAACATAAAAAATAATGTTAAGATTGCAAAAAGTATTAAAGTGAAAAGTTATAACAATAAATAAAATTTTGAAGGAAAATTGTTAGATGCTAATTGAACATAGATTGAATATATAATATTCATTTTGAATGGATGTAATTTTAAGTATTAGTTAATATTGTTAGAAGATCAAGTTATTCACAAGTATGGTACGTTGACGGGTATCTTGGATCCATTACACAAACAATGACAAGAAAAATGAGGACAACGTTTGTAGCTAAAGATGTTTGTTGAAATGAATGTGACTCCGTATTGAAATTTGAGCATGTATCTTATCAATTTATGATTCAATTACATATTCTTTATGTTTATGTTTAATGTGTGATGAAGTTAGGAAAACCAAAGTGAAAAATGTTTTTATTAAAGAGATATTAAGATAAATACCTATTAATGATAGTACAATTTTAAAATATATTTGTTAATGTAGACATCTATAGTATAGATCACATTTTCTACCAATTGAATGAGAATGAACTATTACGAAGGGATAGATCAAAGGTAATATGGCTAGAAGCTGTGGAAAATGAGTTGCACAAAATTGAGTTATTTTACAGCATTCAGTAGAAATGAGTAGAAGAGGAGGATTCATAAATCTGGCTCCAAATTTATGGAAAATATAATGACACTACTTAGATATAAGGGTTCTAATTTTGTTCAAATGTGACTATCTCTTGTTTTCTAGTTGATAAAGCAAATTGCTAGTTGTAATCATTACTGCACGTCTGATGTAGAGTAACACAAATGTTACTTTGCATATGAACTTGGCAAAGAGAAACAGTCTGTAATAAGGATTAGGAAGTTGTACACAGTAACCAATTTTTTTGTACATTAACTAAGAATTACAAGATTTTTTGGGCACAACTAATGAAATCTTCTTTTTCTGTTTACAGGTATCAGCTTCTCAATCAGATAATGGCCACTCTGCTAGACCAACCAGAAGTAGCTCAGTTAACCGTTCATCTGCCTCAGGTGCTCATTCAAACTCCCTAATTAACCACAGAACATCAGCTCTGAACTCCAGCACAGTATCCGTCACATCCAGACCAACAACACCATCGAGACCATCCACTCCTGGAAACCATTCTGTTTCTGTGTTATCTACAAAAGCATCTGCAGTTTCTCGTTCTGTTCAGGCACGCTCCACCAATCCTTCGAAATCTAGGCCAAACCTTACAACTCCTGGAGAAAAGATCCGTCCCTTACAAAAGTCTAGACCCTCAACACCCAATGGCCGACACCAACATTCTTCCGTCTCTGGCACAAATATCAATTCATCTGTAATCCGATCCACCTCCAGGCCCTCGACTCCGACACACCGACCAAACACCCCTGGAATTTCTTCATCGGCGGCAACAATAGCAGGGCGATCCCCATCAGCTGGAAGGCTGCCTTCAATCCGGAACTCTGTCACATTTTCACGTCCCAGTTCCCCTGGAGTACGCCCGAGAGCTCCTCCCGTGATGCCAATTGATATCCCAGATTTCCCTCATGAAACTCCTCCAAATCTGAGAACGAAGTTGCCAGAAAGGCCAACTTCTGCTGGTAGGATAAGACCAGGGATGGCCCTGATAGCAAGGGCAAGCTCAAATACTGAGACTCCAGCTACTGTTGGATCAGGCCGCAGGCAATCCATGTCTGTTACCCGAAGTAAGTTGCCAGAGAGCACCATGAAAGTTCAATCTACTAAAAATTATCCAGACACTGAACTGCTTGCAATTCAAAAGCCAATAGCTCCAGATCCAGGAGTCCGGCGGGCTTCGAAAATAAGCTTGACTGAGAGCACTGGGTTTGGTAGAACACTATCAAAAATGTCTTTGGACATGGCGCTTAGGCACATGGTATGTTATTAATCATAACCTTGTTTTGCAAGTTGTGGTATTTCACAAAATTCACCTTTTCTGGGTGCTTTTCTTTTTGCCCAACTTGCATGTGGCTAATTCTCACAATTAGAAAGAATGCTGTCGGTGTTATACATAGCTGCTTTTTGTGATTAGATAGGTAGTGAGATGAGATAGAGAGTGTTAGAGATATTTGTTAATTCTTGCTTTCCTTACTATATCTATCTAGTTACACAAGAAAGTGATAATGCAACATGAACTGAATATTTTCTTTGATGACTGAATGTGATATAGCGGTCAATAATAAATAACTAGCTGCCGAGCTGCTGGTCTTTTAGAGGCTATTTGATTTGCTGAGAAAGAAATGCAGTGTGAAAAGAATACATTGTAATTGAAATATAGTGTATTTATTAGCATAGTATATATGCAATAATTAATATATTTGTGTATTGCTCGAAAAGAAAATAAAAAAAAAATGTAAAATATATCCGGTGGCATGCAGCGTTGGCATTGGTCAGCTGCAGTGGCCTAGACTTTACACAAATAGTGTACTTAAAATTTGCTTAAATCTATTGATATCCAAATGAATTGAAGTTGAATTAGAGAGTGAATTCTAACTGCATTGAATGTTCACACAGCATTTGTTTTTCTACAGGCCAAACATTATGTTTTTTCAAAACCCGAATTCCTTTTACAATTCTGCCTACCAAACAATCCTTATCGTTTTTCGATATCACATATCTCTCCCTGACATTAGTTACTAGGAACGTGAGGATAGTGGGAGAATACTATGATTCAGCTAATGCTTCTTCCATCTTTTACCATTTCTGGTTCTAAATTTATAAAGTAATACAATTGTTAAATATCGCCTTTTCATGAGACAGCAAATAGAAATTGTAACTCATGTCTAAACTGAATCTGATAAATTTTCTCAATGCTTCCTAGTTGATAGATGTATTTCATTGAATCAGTTCATATGCCATTTACATGAATTAGCTCATCTTTTAAAAAATGTCCAATTATTAGCCTAAGGCTATCTATTGATCTCCGCTGCAGGATATCAGACAAAATATGGGAGGAATCCGAGCTAATTCCCTTTTTCCGCACAGCATCCGCTCCGGAAATGCTCCTAAATCACGCCCAACTCGTGGCACAGAACCCATAGCTCCAGCCACAAACAACGAACCTCTTTCAGAAGTTCATATTTACAACAGAAATGTGTCGGAGAATGGAGACTTTGCATTTAAACAAATGAACAAGGATTGCCTTGTGGCAAAGGAGAGTGATTTTGATATCCGTGGCAGCTCTCGGTATGACGCAATGCTTCTGAAAGAGGATTTGAAGAACACAAATTGGCTACACAGCGTCGAAGACAAGTCTGATCAGAGCCCAGTTTTTGACCACCGGTTTGAGCCGCCGCCGGAACCTTTTGGCCCTCTGTAGTTGTTGGGCTGCAGAGTAGTGATTATTGAAGAGCTGATTCCCTGTACTTGAGCAATGGTTTGAGCCACTGCTGCCAGCAATTTTTTATCCCTCCCGCTCTTCTGTTGGTTCTCATTCGTAGTTTTGGGAAATTTTCTCTTCTGGAACGGTTAGTCTTAATCTAAAACGATCGCTTCTCTATTAATTCTACAGTATGGATCGCCATGAAGAGAAGAGTATAAAGATATAGCTACAACGACTAAAATACTCATCAGTTCTCAAGTAGAAATCATTGGATAGTGGCCTACTATTGTTTATTTTTCTGAGTTCAATGTTTGGTTGCTGGTCGCTATTTGGAGACAGAGGGGGAGGAAAATATTTTAATGTAAAAGCTCCACAAACTCCTAAATCTAAAATGCCTTGAAAAATTATGGTAGTTGTAATAGGAGATCACTCATTGGACAAAAAATTTATAACATCGTTTTGTTCATCGTATGTTACAATAAAATTATCTTTGTGCTTAGATAAGTTATGTGGAGATTAGTTAATGTCATAGTTTTTACCCTTTAAATATTAACATTAATATTTTTTCTATTATTTGGTAATTTAAGCCCTTGATAAGATGTTCATTGATACAATAGAGGGTAATCAACTTTTGCACTTAGTTTTGCTGAGCTAGTAGGATTTCGAGTGGCTCACTGAATACTTTTATTATATGAGTGGCAACTTTTTAGAATTAAAGCTATAAGGATTAAAAGAAAGTTGGAGGTAGTTTTTGATTCCATCATGTACAATATGATTACCTCACCTTATTTGAAGGTGAGGTTTTTTACATTAATCTCAAGAAAGGTTGACACAACTAATAACATATAAATGAAACACTAAATAAAAGCTAGTATACCCTGAAGTGGTTATAATGAATCAAGTATTTTTATTTAGTTATGACATCTTCATTATGACTTTCATTTCCAAAAGTTGAAATTCTATCCCTAATATTTAACTATGAAGGCCATCATTTTGCATGAGGAGACCCCAAAAAAAACTTAATAGTGGATTTAAAGGTAAAAGGCGGTAAAAGAAATTATTGCAGAAAAAAATATTGTAAATATATAAATGTGCGTATCTGGGCTTGTATCATCAAACATAATATAGTTGCATGAATTTTGAGTAAATTGCGAGAAAGTGAAAGCAAGAAAAGCATAAAAAAACTGAGTATGAAGAAAATAATTCGTAGGAAAAACACGAGATAGTAAAATAAAACCCGTAGCCGATATGAATGCTTAGGCTAAATGTAAGACTTTAGTAAAGGTGGGGGCTCAGAGTTTGGTTGTGAGCTTACAACCTTGGACCGAATCTACCGACCAAACTATTTAAGAAGAGCATGCTCCAACCTAATCAAGAAAATTAACTTGTTAAATTCAATAATTTTGCATTCAAAACTCTTACTTTTTTATGCATGTAATATTTTATTTAGCAGTCAAAAGTGGTGATATTTTGAGAAAATCATATTTTAATTGTATTTAAATATATTTGAAAGGTCAGACAGTCCACGAGTTAATCATCTTGATTGGACTGAAAATGCCGACAACTTAAGAGTGTAATGGGCAAGTTCTTACCAAGTGTTGGTGAACAATATCATCGATCTCATCCCCTTTCCCGAAGGATCCTTGGGGTAGAAGAAAGTATTCTAAAATCTCGCTTTGTATTTCTCGTTTAACATGCATAAGCGATCTCTTCATCGCTCTTACCACCTGAACCTCAGACTTACACAAGTCTGATGATTCATAAGTGATCATACCAAATATCCCCAGTTGCTCAAAAAGTTTAGACACTTTATCCAACGCCCATAGCCTTGAGCGTTGGGTTATTAATACAAGATAAGTAGTGTCGAGGTATTTTCTACAGCCTTGAGCGTTGCATTATCAGGCCCCAAGTCATAACATGGTGGGTCCTTAAGAAATTTCATGCCAATTTCGCTATATTTTAAAGACGATCTTTTTCAACAAATTGTAGCAGACTTAGAGGACCTCTAAAGTATTCAAAATCTCCCAAGGATGTCCAGAAAAAAATTTTAAACAAACTTAGGATCTCATATATCACTTTAAGTTTATTCTAGTCTCACTAAATTGTTAATTAGATCTTCCAAGTTCAATTAATGTCTTTAAGTTGTGCTCAGTATATATCTCAATTAACTCATGAGTAGGCTAGGAGTTACTCATCTTATTATGTTTAGGGTTTGGATGGATGGTCACAACAGGGGTGAGTACAATCATTTAAGTCAGTTGGTAGTGTTTAAGATAAGTTATGTTATTTCTTTATTCTAATCCCTTTAGATAGTTTTAGTTCAATTCTAGCCCGCTACCAAGCTCTTAGATCCTTAATGGGCAGATCCATAATTTAACAAAAGTTTTATGTAATGTGCTTAATCCTTATTGAAAGATTAAATCATATTGAACCTTTGGTCTGGGGGCTTTAAATTAGTTAATTATTACCAAGTCTTTTGATTAATTGCAATTTTACCTTTTTGTAGAGAATAGTATGATTTGGGAGCCTGTGAGTCGCGACAAGCTTAATTTGTTTTCAATTTCAATTTAGATTTTGATTTTGATTTTAGTTTTATGAAAATTTTGAATTTAGTGGTGAGCAGATCATTTTGAGATGGAAAGCACAAGGACTTACATCCAACTCGAAGACTGATCGAGGAAATTTTACTACCTTGGGAAGGAAAGCTCAATGACTCACATCCAACCCAAAATGCACCGAGAGAGAATCATAATTTAGATACTGATTCTGAGATTCAAATTTGAAGGTATCAAAATTATTACACCGACCCTGGCATATCGTGAATGTGGGAAACTTGTGTAGAGAATGTGGAATCTTATGAATTTTAAGGAATAGAAAAACATGCACCGACCCTTAGATATCATGAATGTGGAAAACTTGTGTAAATGATGTTGAAATTAGGGAATTTTAAGGAATCAGAAACCCTGCGCTGACCCTTAGATATCATGAATGTGAAAAACTTGAGTAAAGGATGTAGAAACTTACGGAATTTTAAGGAATCGAAAAACCCTGCACCGACCCTTAGATATCATGAATATCGAAAACTTGTGTGAAGGATGTGGAAACTTATGAAATTTTACAAAATCAGAAACCCTGCACCTACCCTTGGATATTGTGAATGTGGAAAACTTATTTAAAGGATGTGGAAACTTAGGGAATTTTAAGGAATAAAAAACCCTACACCGACCATTGGATATCGCGAATGTAAACTTATGTAAAGGATGAGGAAACTTAGGGAATTTTAAGGAATTGGAAAACCTGCACTGACCATTGGATATTGTTTGGAGGTATCAGACATTAACAAAGACCCTTGGGATTTGATTTGGACATATCAGAACACACCGACCCTCGGGATTTCATGGGAGTGAAAAACTTGTGAAAGGGAGTGCAAAAATTTAGGGAACTTGTGAAAACTTGCAAAATTTTAAAAATTTTGGAGAGTTTGTGAAACTTATGTGAAGAGTGAGGAATTTATGGAATTTTCGAGGAAGTTGGAATTCGTGGAAATTTAATTTTGGAGAGTGTGAAATTTCAAAATTGGCTTATCTTTTTTATTATTTTGCATGTTATTTAATTTTATGCACATATGTATTTCGTATCGTTCTTCGTTCGTTATAAAATTGAATTAACATTCAGTTCAATGGCTTTAAATTGATCGCACCACGTAGCTATTTCAAACACAAGTGTTGAAGCCAAAAACGATCCTTATTGATTTCCATTGAAATTGAATACATCTGAGAATATCAAAACATGATGAATACATCCATGCAGGAACTGTAATACATCATATTAGGTCTGCTCCGAAGTGACCAAAGCATAAGAAAATGTCTTCTCATCTAAAACTATGCTGAGATCAAGCTAACCTCCTAAGCTATGCTCCAGAACAAAAGTCTCCTCGCATATACTTAGAGGTAGGCTATCTCACAACTCCAGTGGTTGTAATCCCTCCAGACCTGGATTGGGCTGATATTTGTATGACACCTTGCTTTCATCCATTCTTCTTAGAGTTACAGAAACTCTCCTTTGTGGAATTCTCGTAATGCAATGCTTCTCAAGATCCACTTCGTTCCCCTTAAGTATGAGTACAGATCCGACCGGTAGTGGAATATTTGCAGGTCCTCTGAATTCTCTCAGACCCACAATCTGTATCTCGTTTCCAAATAGTATGTTTCATTTATTGATAAATGAGATGGTACAAAAAGATCTCAGAAAATCATAGTGATCGATGTGAGGAGGAATACAATTCCCTTCCTCGTAAGTGTTGATGATACGATTGTTGGGGACACAATTAGCTGATAGTATGCGCCATGACACCATCCTCTTGATCATTTCTTTATTATTGACAGCATGTGATCCACCTCGTCATCCCTTATGATCTCCGGGGGATTTCATTCTTTAACACAAGCAAAGTTATAGCAGCAGTCACATTGAATAGTGAGCCTACCCTTGCCTCTCATCTATTTATGTGGTTCTGACTACATTTTTTTTTCTTAAAAGACCTTCTTGACCTTTATCCCTTAGGTCAAATATGCAGTCCAAAATAATTATTTCATGTTTTTCTGAAAATACTCTGGCATGTAACTCCAGTCCTTTTAAAATGTTGAAAAATTTCCTCTAGATCTTGACATAATGCTCAAATTTTTGTTTCCAGAACCTTTGCATCCTTTCCAACTCATATTTGGGAACCGTCTGCAAATGTCGCTGCTCAACGTACTGGGGTATGTAAAGCTCCACATCCGGGTGCTCTATATTCCTGAGTACCATCGAAGCCGCCATGAATTCTTCCAAAGATTCATAGCGTTTCAAATAAGGAATATTGCATTCTGGGCACTCCGTGAATGCCCTAAATGGCGTGTAATCAGATAGTACTATGTAGGCATGTTTTCCAACAACAAAGCCCCATTATAACTTTGAGATCATCATTTCTTGCCAGGAACTGTGCAGGTGTGTATTCCACTGGCTGAAAGCAGACTTCCTCCTCTGTAGCTCGATCACGATCTGCTGCTACTTTGGCTTGTCTTCTTTCCAGGAGATCGAGGTCTCTATGCTTGCGGCAGTTGGCTTTTCTTTGCTGCGTCCATCATAGCAGTCCTCCACCTGAAGAGGCGCTAACCATATCCTTTTCGGCGTCATGACCATTAAATTTGTCTGTGTAGCTTTTCTCATCAGGCCATGAGTGTCTGAAACCTTCTCTGTTTTCTTCCTTTTTAACAATGATCCCTCTTTATGGCGGATTCTGATTAAAGATTCTAACACATCTGTATCCTTTTGCTCAACAACCATCAATAAATGTCCTTCATAATCTAGATTGACTTGCCCGTAGTCCAGATCAAAGTTTATGAGACCACCCTGTGTCTTCTCCTTCTCATGTAGTGTGAGATTTAAGCAGTCTTTAAACAAGAAAATCAAA